TCATTCGGTTCAGTTATATTACGGCATCGTTGTTGTTACTGTACTTCTATTCATTTTTTACTGAGCTAAGTGTCTTGAGAAACAGTCTCTCTACCTCCATAAGATTTTGAAAAAAAAGTGAAATTATTTTTCAAGTGAAAATCGTATTTAAAAATTAAAGTTGTGTTTGGACTTGAATACACTTTGGAGATATTTTCGAATTTTTGTGAGTGATTTGAAGTGAAATTTTTGAAAATTTTCGAAATTCAACTGAAATTTGAAATTTTCATTGCCAAACAATGATTTTGAAAAAAAGTAAAAAAAAATCGAAAAAAAAAAATAAAAACAAAAAAAATTATGGCCCTTATAAATTTTTCATTCATTTTGAGTCAAAAAGAAATTAAAAAAACTCAAAACAGTAAAATCTTTTCTATAATGCGAGAGAGATTATAGAAACACAGTGAACCGTGGAGAAGTATTTTTCCACTGTTAATAGCAAAATAGCTAAATGGTAATGCTCATCAGATTCAGAGGCAAAGCAGCTCTAGCTGTATCCGCTCACAGTTCCATATTTCACTGCAATGGCTCTGGACACCTCCTTTCCTTATGCTGTTTCAGATCTCAATTTCTCTGCTCAACAACCTCTACCCGTAATCGTATCTCAACCCAATTCTTGATTAAATACCTGATTGATTCTCTAGGGTTCTCAAAAAAAGAAGCAATTTCTACGTCTTCCAAGCTAACTCCACAGAAAAACATAAAAAATCCCGATTTACTCCTCAATTTCTTGATACAAACCGGTTTTGAAAAGACCCAGATTAAAAAATTGGTTTTTCGAGCACCCAGATTGCTATACCGTGATGTTTCCAGAACCCTAAAACCCAAACGTCAGTGCCTTGTGGATCTCGGGTTATCCCGGTCGGACCTGGTGAGTGTAATTGCAAAAGATCCAAATATTTTTTAGAGAAGTTTAGATACGCATTTAAGACCTACAATTGATTGTCTTAGGAGAATTTTGGGTAGCAATGAAGATGTAGTTAAAGCTATAAAGAGAGCTGTTTGGTTGCTCTCTTTTGGTGCCCATCATATTATGGAGACTAATGTTTTGTTGTTGAGAAACTATGGTTTTTCTGATTTGATGATAAAAAAATTTGTCTTCTATTACACAAAAGTCTGAGTGGTTTAAGGATTTGTTGCATAGGGTGGATGTTAGGATCGGGAATCCGGGTAGTGCGGAATATAGCCAAATAACGGTATAATGGCAATAATAAAGACAATAGAAGTTGATAACAACGACAATTAAAGTAAATAAAGAAACACAAATTTAACGTGGTTCGGTCAAAGTGACCTACATTTACAAGCGGAGAAGAGCAATTTACTATAACAATAAGAGTATAAAATTAGAGTAAACACTCTAATTAATCCCAAATACCCTAAGAGAATAACCTCATAAGAATAACCTCACAAGATCACTCTAAAAAAAAGGTTCACACAAGTGCTTCTCAACACTAAGTCTCATGCAAAACACTCTTAATAAAGGAAGAAAGGAAGAAACAAGAATTGAAGACAAGTCTTGTTGGTGTGTCTAAAATGAATTAATCGCCTTCCCTTTTATAGGCAAAAAAGTCTTGGCTTCTTAGGTGTAAAAGAAGAGATACAACTTGTGCAAATAATGTCCACCACATAATGTAATATTTTTGGGTCTCAAAGAATATTGCCAACAAAGTCTACATTTTGCAAATATGCGTATTCTTATGTGAGATGGACTACATTAGCCAAAATATTGGCCATAATTACAGTGGAGAAGGATTTCCGAGTTACGCCTGACTCCGCTACTTTTCTATATGGATTTCATGCGTTAGCCGGTCAAAAGAAGATTGGAATTTTCAAGAGTTTTGGATGGTCTGATGATCATATACTCGAGATGTTCAGGAAGCTACCTCATTGTGTTGCTTTCTCAGAGGTTAGAATTCAGAAAGCATTGAATCTTTACATGAAGGAGCTCAGTTTTGAACCTTCTTACTTGTCTTCTCGTCCTGCACTTTTGGCCTGCAGTATGGAAAAAAAGGTGCTACCTCGGATGCAAGTCTTGAAAATTTTGGATGAAAAAAAGCTTAAGAGGAGAAAGTGGAGTCTTTATCCTGTTCTAATGTTAGCAGAGTCAAAGTTCATAGACTATTTTGTGCTACCCTACAAGGATTAGATACCTGATCTGTATGAATCGCACAAAAAACTTGTGGCTCCTTAGTGCTCGAAGATTTAACTTGTTTTTCGCTTTCACTGTTATTTTATTTAATATAATGACGATATGAGTTAGCTTAAAGAAAGAAGTGAGGTTTCGTATAGCTGACTCCAATTTGTTTGGGCCTGAGGCGTAATTGTTGTGTTGGCTCGAAAATTGTCAGGTTATATGATTGTCTCTATAATGCTTCTTCCTGGTTATCTTGCTGAAATGAGAGGAAAATAAACTACGGTATCTGATATCTTAATCTTACCATGCTACCTTATTTTCTCTCATTGGGTTTGTCATTGTATTTACTCTACCAATATGTTATACGTTTGTAGTTCATATTGATTTGATTGCGAAAGAACTATATTGTCTTTACAAAATAGTACTTGTTATAATGGTTTTCCAAGTGACCAAATTGAGAAACGCATACTCAATAAGGAGGGTACAAATCAAGGACGGACCCAGGATTTGAAGATCGTGGGTGCATTTTTTGATTCAACCAAAATCTGCTTTCTATATAGAGTGTGCACTATTAATATATCGCTATTTTTCAAAGATTTACACATACATATATACATAGAAGTTTTGTCGAACTTTTCGAGTATCAGTGACCCATCTACCTATTGCATAGGTCCGCTTCTGGTACAAATTGTGTAAAATTCAGGGCGACTCAAAGAAATGGTCCTGAGAGGGGAAATAGGTTGATATCTCTCTCCAGTTGGACTTGTGATCTATGGAATGGAACTGCTGCTTTGCTTAGTAAGAGTCTTTGTGGACATGATCATTACGAGTTTTGTCTCAACTTGGATATCTTCCCCAGAGACAGCTTTCTCATCTCAGCTTATAGAGGTTTGGTTTGGACAAAAGAATGGTTCCTAGAATCAAAATTTATTCAGACTTTGAGCTGGTTTTATGATGCTAAAATTACTGATCTCTCTATGAATTCTATACAAAAAGTGTAGCATGATACCATAACTCGAGAGCCTCTTTTAAAACAAGGTGTATTTATTTCCCCAATCAGTATTGTTGCATTTGTGCCTTCTTTTTCCAAACTATCCGATTAGTTGCAGTGTTGTCAAAGGCGCACTTAAAACACGCCTTTGTGGGCGCTTCAGTGTCGTATCAAGGCTCTAAGGTATACTTTTCCTTGCCCATGAGTGTAATCAATCTTGAAAAGACGATACTAAACAATTGATATTTCACTTTATCGTATTATTTTTTCAATTTCCTTGTCCATATATTGGTCTTGGACTGCATATACATATTTTTACTTTTTCTCAAGTTGCGCCTTTTTTCGTTATAGCCCACACGTTATTTGCGCTTCGCGCTTAAAGCTACAACGGATCTTAGAGTTTTTTTGCGTTTTTCGCTTTGATAACACTGATTATTTGTCTTTAAATCAGGCGTCATTCATGCTGTTCGCTGAACTAAAAGTACCATACTTGCATGTGGAAATGATCATATTTTGACACAGTTAACAATTTGTTCTAAAGGCAGGTTCAAAGCTTACAATTTGCACCATGGTTTTCCTTGCTCAGCTTATTTCTTTGCTAGTCGCTACAAGCCCCCCTTCTTTTTGCTATAGCCTTAACGTAGAACGTATTCCCTCCTTAGCATTACTTCTCAATTTTCAGTATGTTATATGCAGTTGTTTTCTCCTCCCTATAATTGTTCAAAGGTAGCTCTGGCTATTTCTTTGCTTTAGAAAAAGAGAATGAGAGATCTGAGTGAGAACATTTTAAGTCAAACTTAATTTACAAAATTTACCCATCAAAATTTGAGTGACAATTTTGCCCTTAAACAAAAATAATTCCTTCTAATAAATGACATGAATATAGTTAGCAGCATTTATTAATCGGACGACGACGACGACGACGACAACAACAACAACAACCCAGTATAATTTCACTAGTGGGGTCTGGAGAGGGGAGTGTGTACGCAGACCTTACCCTTACCCTGGGGTAGAGAAGCTGTTTTCGATAGATCCTCGGCTCCCTCCCTCCAAAAACTTCTCACCTTGCTCTTGGGGTGACTCGAACTCACAACGTCTAGGTTGGAAGTAGAGGATGAGTAGGAAAGAATTTTTTTCATGTGCCAATAATTATGATAAAGGATTTAGAATCTCTAAGACAATTTTTTACCCGGATAAATGGGGGAGGATTTAGAATATTACCTTTTCACATTCCAACTTTTATTTGCTTGGTTCTTTTAGTTTTTAACTGTTACAGTAATAACTATATATGCCTGGTCTTTAATCATACTTATAATATGTTTTATAAAAGTCGACACCAAAATGTCAAATCACTTCATTACTTTGTCTTTTTTCTTTCGGGTTTCTATCCTCAAGATGAATTTATTACGGTAAATGTTATGGTTCACGTTTTGGAAATATACTGAGTTTAATATGGATACATTAGCATGCAATTCTTTCCCTTCTTTTTATTGGTTACTAGCCTGAATATTTTACACTTTACTCCAAATATTAATTCAAAACTTCATGTTGGTTTTTGCATGAGACACGCAAAGCTAAGTTCGGTGGAAGAAGAAATACCAAAACGACTAGTGTATAAATGAGTTTTTATTTGTTTGGCACTTGATTTGTATAGTATCACTTGTCAACTACAACATAAAGTAGAGTAAACTTCAACAAAAGATGGAAAGAAGTCATTCTTATAAAAATCATTCATGCATATGTACATGAATATTCTTAGGCGTAGCTGGGTTTTGTTCATTGGATGGTACACTGTGGCTGAAATATATGGCGGAAAACAAAATTAGACGAGGGGACGAACTAAGCATTATCTGGCCAGAATTCCCTAAAAAAAACTCGCTCAAATTCTTTCTCTTGCATGCGATTCTCAAACTCTAGTACTTTCTTCATCTTTTTAGAGATTCCCTTTGTCTTCTGTACATCAGACGCTTTTTCTTTCTCCCCATCTTTTACAATCTTCCGCCCCAAGAAAAGCCCAGAACTTTTAAGGTGCTCTGCTGCCTTCTTTGACTTCTTTGCTCCCAAGCCTCTCTTATTTTTCTTGATATAAGCTGGCACAGGTTCTAATCTACCCTGTTCAGCAATGCCAAGTCCAGTTCCTTCTCTCCAGCCAAGTTTTTTCAACAACTTAAAACCAAGGTTGGAGGACTGAATAGGAATTGAGGTTAAAGAAGCAGACATTGCAGCATAACTCGTAGACATTCCCAAATCGGCGGATTTATATTCTACTCCTCCTCCACCCGATCTCATATCTTTGAATTCACTTTCCTATTTCTCCCTCCTACGAGCAGAAGCCAAAATCGGAAAAAATATATAAACCAAAAATTTCCTTCTAAACAGCAACAGATGGAAGAAATCTGCGTCACTGACTCTACGACAACCACCTCCTTCAACCTCAAAAATTGTCTCTGCAAATTGGTATCAAGGCTGTTATACCAATTTGAAGGATTGAAATACCCTGAAGAACAATTTAGGCACAAGCAAAAAACTCAATTAAGGCTATATAAAAGAAATTTATCAAATTAGAGAGAAGGTGATAGGAGTCTTTTTTTTCTTTCCAGAACTTAGAAACTCTTGAATCTCAAAATAAGTAGTAGCATCCATATTTATAATACTACAAATTAAATTTGACTAGACTAATAAAATCTATTCCAATATGAACTTGGTAAACAAATCTAACTAGACATGAACTAAATAAACTATGAAATACCAAATCCTAGACAACTTAGAAATACTATTTAATCTTGGTTTAATTTCCAACATACATTAATAGCATGTTTGGCCAAGCTTTTAAAACCAACTTATTTTGAGAAGTACTTTTCTCAAAAGTACTTTTTTAAAAAGTGTTTTTGGTGAGAAGCAGTTTATGTTTGGCTAATTAATTTAAAAAATATTTTTGAGCAGTAATTAGTATTTGGCCAAACTTTTGAAAATTGCTTCTAAGTGTATTTTTCTTAAAAGTGGTTCTTAGAAAAGTATTTTTGATAGAAACTACTTTTTTCTGCTTCTCAAAAACCGTTTTTGATTCTCCTCAAAAATATTTTTTTTCCTTCCAAAAGCTTGGCCAAACACCTCAATTTTTGGCCAAAAATACTTTTGGAAAAGAAAAGAAAAAATCACTTTTGCCCAAAAAAAATGCTTGGCCAAACGGGCTATAAGAATATTAGAAGTCCAACTCAAGTAATCAGATTTCTAAAGTCATATTGCATTGATTAAGATATTGTCATTGTATCCTTAAATCAAATCTTCATCTTTATTTGATTTGATATTCTTTAGTCCAATTTCAACAAATCGCATAAAATTTGGTGGACGTATAATATTTTCCATCAATAAATCATATAACATTTTGTTTAAATTTAAAAAATATGCCTCTTTTAGTATGATGGTATATTATACGAAGAATTTGACACGAATAATACGAAAAGGAACAGAGAAGTCTACGGATAAGAATCATTTCCTTTCATGCTTTTTTGTTCTATCTTCCGGTTATCTATTAGAATTACTCTTTCTTGTTCTGCCTCTCTAAATGACCATCTGAAGACTACTATATTGCATTTAGTTCAACAAATCTTGCATTAAAAATATATCTAAAGTGAAAAGATAGAAACATAAAAAAGGGTATGACTAAAATTGTTGCAAAACAAAGATCATATCAACATAAAGACAAGAAGGTAAAATGAAAGAAGTTAAGGTTAGAACGACTACTTATAATCTAAATTAAGTAGTGAGAAGGAATAATATTTAAGAACTATGATATTTATTTAAAAAATAGAAACATTTTGCTTAGACAATAAAAAACGGAGGCATTACCCAAGACTAAATGTGACAAACGGGTGGGCCGTGCCGGTCCGGGTCGAGAAAAAAAGTGACCGGTCGGTCACCAATTCGGGGCGGGTTCCGGGTTTGACAAACTGGGCTTAACGGGTCCGGGTCCGGCCCCATCCGGTCAAAAATTGAATCATAACGGTTCCGGGCCGGTTTTGTGTACTTTTTTTTCTTTTTTTTACAGTTTGTATAACTAAAGTAAAAATATAAAACAAAAAAATAATCTTATAAAAAAAGTGTTTGAATAAAGAATGCAAAGACTTTAAAATTCTTATATTTGAATATTTCATTAAGAATTTAAGATAATATAATACAATGAAGATGGGGAAAAATTGCACTTATAATTTGCAAGTTTTTTTTTTATTTCAAACTTGCAAATTAAAGTTTATATTTAACAACAACTAAATTAACGAAAAAAGAGTAAATTCAAAGTTTAATTATTAAATATAAATCTAGAACTTCAAAGGTTTTGCATTGGCTTAGTAAGTTCTTCACAATCAATATGAACTTCTTGGTCATCTTCTGGAGTGTTAAATTCATATGGGTGACCGTGTGTTAATATATCTCCAAGTTCCTCGTCTTCTGGTTTATCACATCTTCACGTCCCTGATTTCTTTGTTCCGATCTAATCCAATCTCTGAAACATACTAAAACTTCCAAAACATTGCATCCCAATGAGTGGCGGGTGTCTCATAGTTGTTGTCTTGCTTGACTAAATGCACTCTCTAATGCAACAATTGAAATTGGCACATTCAGCATGTCCCGAGCCATAGCGGAAATAACAGGAATTACTTTTCATTCTCATGCCACCATCCCAACGGTGAAAATTCCTTATTGCGAGGCTCTGATTGCTTTTGCAAGTAGAATTGAAGTTCATCAATGTTCCTACTACTGGTTTGAGTGGAAGGAAACGTAGCCCAAATATTATAGTCATCAAGACTTTCATCTTCATCCATATTAACAGATGCAACAGAAGTAGTACAATGCATAGTGGGATTAACATTGTCTACATTAATAGCATCATCATCAATTATATTTGCATAATAATTATATAATCCTTGTAAATAATCATTTAGTTTGTTCATACAACAATATATATATAGNGCACAAATTAAGTAAATCGGAGGAATTGGAAAAAATATTTTTTGAATTTGGCTTGCATTTTTTCAACAACATCCTTATATTTTTTCTTCTTCTTAAATTCAGAAAATAGAAAAGAAATTACAGCTATATGTACTAAAACCATAGTAACAATAAGGTAATATGCTTTAGAAAACTCAACAATAACTGTATAAAATTTATGTAAAAATTGAACATCATTAATGGCCTCCCAGGTATTAGTTGTTAACATACAGTTTGGATCAGTACAATGCGCATTAGCAACTTCAGTTATCGGCAATCTATATTTGTAGCAACATTTTAAAAATAAGTATGTATAATTCCATCTAGTAACAATTTCATCTGGCATGAATTTGGATTTAAGGTTATGCTCCGTACACTTAGTCTTAAATTCCCTAATTCTAAATTGTCTATTATTTCCTTGAATAACACCCACTGCTCTTCTAACATGAGTAATCTCAGTCGGAAAAATCAAGGTCAGTTTTAACGATTAAATTATAAACATGGCATGCACACCTAACATGAAAAATTTCGTCTAGTGGTGGTTTCAAATGCAGTTTTAATATTGAAATAGCGGCATTATTGTTAGAAGCATTATCAAAAGACATACACAATACTTTTATATTAAGATTATAAAATTCAACAATTTCGCAAATAGTAGTACTTATAAAAATAGCAATATGGCTTTGATCTTCATCATATTTAAAAGCGATAATACGTTTCTGCATACAATAATTATTATCTATCCAATGACATGTAATTGTCAAATAATCATTTTCATTTACAGCATGGCCAATATCAGAAGTTAAAGAAACTCTACAAGGAAGGTGGTCAAACAAATAACGTATGTATGTCTAATATTGTCCATGAAGTCTAAAGATATCATATTTACAAGTACTTCTAGGGATACCTTTAAATAAAGGATTATAAATTCTTTGAATATACATAGTCATATATGATGAAGAAGCAAAAGAAAAAGGTAGACAACTCAAAGCAATCATTTTTGCTAACTCCTCACGATCCTTCATTTTATCATATTTCATAAGTACTCCAGTACTAGGGTTTAGAGTTCCTTGATTTTCATCTAAATAAGAACCACATTCTATAGGATGAGTAATTTTCAAATGCCTACTAAGTGTTTCAGTCCCCCCTAAACTTCCTCTAGTGTTATGTTTAAAATCATCTTTACAAAGTTTGCATCTAACTCTATCAGAATTCTCTATTTCGTCAAAATATTTCCAAACTTTACTTCGTTTCCTCCGATTAGTAGTCGGGGCCACATGTGGTCTACTACTAGTGCCACGACCACCACTCATGCTACCAACTCCAACACTACTAGGTGTAAGTGGTGTCTCATCTTCAATTTCTAATTCATTGTCTTCTATACCGAAATCTTCTTGTAATTGTTCATAATTTATATTATTATCAGATGATGTTTCAGAAACATGTGTAGAGTCATTTAAATTACTACTAGATGTTGAAGTAGTACCTCTTTTCTTATTTCCCTGATTATCCCAATTAGCAACCTTATTACAAACTCTTTTTGTAGCATTAAACATATTGTGAAAATTTAACTACTAATAAAAATTAAATATGCAAATAAAATAGTAAATAAGAGAAAGAGTTGGAGGGAGTGCACCGAATTCCGAAATAAGTTGAACAGATAGTGTGATTTTCGCAATTCCAATGTTACAACTTACAACGAAGAAATGTTAATTGTTCAAAGTTCAAAGTTCAAACTTCAAATAATATGATAAATTAAATTCCAAAAAAAATGAGAGCCAAATACTTGATTGCAATTTAGGCGAAGAATGAGAGAATGACAATTGAGATTTGAGTTTGAGAAATGAGAGATGAGTGAAGAAACGAAGAAGAGGGGATGTATTTATAATTTTTCAAATGGTTAAATTAGTAATTACTAAAAGTGTTGTTTTAAAAAAAAAAATTGCTCAAAAAAGAGCTATTCTTGCAATAATTCCGTTGGACAACGGTCAAATTTGAAGTTAGACCGTTGCCAACGGTCAAATTCAATTTTTTTAAAAAAATCAAAATAGTTGTATAAATTTTAGTACACCGATTTCGACCTGTTCGGTTAACCGATTTTTTTTTATACGGACCAACCCCTAACCCAGTCCACTCTAACTACCGATCCGGGTCGGGTCGGGTTAATACCGGTCCGAATCAATCCGAAAACTTGTCAAACCGGCCGTTAAACAGGTTTACCCAACACAAGTCTCGATGGAGGGACATGCCGCATGCAATTTTTTGTTCAAATTATGTACAAATAGATTGGTCTAATCCCTCATTTGTTAATAGACATTAGTTAAACGATAATGCTCAGCAGAGGCAAATGTTTAGCTCACAGGATTCACTGCAATGGCGTTGGAGACCTCCTTTCCTTTTACCGTTTCAGGTCACAATTTCTCTACTCTTCATCCTCAACTCTTTTCTTTGTAAAATACCTGGTTGATTCTCTAGGGTTCTCCAAAGAAGAAGCAACCTCTACATATTCCAAGTTAACTTCACGGAAAACCACCAGAGATCCCGATTTAGTCCTCAATTTCTTGAAACAAACCGGTTTTGACAACTCCCAGATCAAAACGATGGTCTCTAGAGCACCCAAATTGCTATTCTGTGATGTTTCTAAAACCCTAAAGCCCAAATTCCAGTGCCTTGTGGACCTCGGGCTATCCGGGTCGGACTTGGTGAATGTAATTGCTAAAAATACTAAAATTATGGTAATAGGTTTAGATACTCATATGAGACCTACCATTGATTGTCTTAGGAGAACTTTGGCCACTGACGAAAATATAGTTACGGCTATAAAGAGAAGTCCTCGGTTGCTTTCTTTTGGTGCCCGTCATATTATGGATACTAATGTATTGTTGTTGAAAAACTGTGGTATTTCTGATGCGAGAATTAAAAAATTTGTGCTTCAAAATCCTTCTCGTGTTACACAAAATCCTGATCGTGTTAAGTATTCCTTGCATAGAGTGGAGAAGGATTTTCGAGTCCCGCTTGGCTCCCCTAGTTTTCTTTATGCATTTCATGTTTTATCTGCGCAAAAAAAGTCTACATTGGATAGGAAGATTGGAATTTTCACGAGTTTTGGATGGTCTGATGATGAAATACTCAAGTTATTCAGGAAGCTACCGCTTTGTATTGCTCTCTCAGAGGTTAGAATTCAGAAAGCATTGAATCTTTACATGAAGGAGCTCAGTTTTGAATCTTCTTACTTAGCTTCTCGTCCTGCATTTTTGGCCTATAGTCTGGAGAAAAGGGTGATACCTCGGATGCAAGTCTTGAAAATTTTGGACGAAAAGAAGCTTGAGAGGAGAAAGGTGAATCTCTATTATGTTCTGACCTTAACAGAGTCAAAGTTTATAGACTATTTTGTGCTACCCTACAAGGATCAGATACCTGATCTGTATGAATCGCACAAAAAAACTGCGGCTCCTTAGTAGATTTGGTTTACTTTTGGCACTAAGGGTGCTGAGATCTTTCTAAAATTATCAGTTGTAGTCAATATTTTCTTTGCTTTTCTTTTTTCAGTTTGTATTCTAAAAAGTCACAGCCGGTGTTGCCAAAATTCATTCCTGGAATTGGTTCATAGTTTACTGAAAGACCTTCCTCATATATACAAGTTTCAACTGCTCTGAGCTATATGCAAATTCAACCTTGCCATTTGAAGCTTTTCGGATTCAACAGATCTTGATAACTGATTCCCTTTGGCAGTTACCACCAAGTTTGTTCCAGAAGATAAAATAAAATACTTTTTCCGCTTTGGCATTGGTTATATGATATAAGGGTCTGATTTTCTCTCTGATGGATGACAAAAGGATGTATGATTTCCCGTTGGGAAGTTCTTCTATCTTGTCTGAGTTTGATCCTATAACATTTTGCACTAGTTGTTTACTAATCTATCCATTTTAAAGGAGCTGGATTGCAGTTTAGTTTCTTAAGCCTTACCTTTACCACTGATTAACATGTAAAGGACTTTTATTGTATCTTACTGAAACTTTAATGAACGGAGCTTGGCGCAATGGTAAAACTTGTCGCAGTATGACCAGGAGTTATGGGTTTAAGTTGCGGAAACCGCCTCTTTCAAAAATGCAAGGAAAGGTTGTGTACATAAGACTCAATGTGGGCTGGTCCTCTTCCGGATCTTGCGTATGGCGGTAGCTTAGTGCATCGAGCTACCCTTTACCTTAGAGCTTTAGTCTTTGTCTTATCTATATTGTGAAGTTGACCATTCTTTTTCATGCCATACTTTCTAGTCCTTGAAATGATTTTTTGTATAATAGTAGTGTCAGGACAAGCTTACACGAACTTAGACAATTTCTTCAGGTACCTAGCATTTTTGCTCTCTCATTCTTTCCTTTTTCTTTTTGTGTTTTTCTTGGTATCTATCTTATTTTAGTAATTGGAATTTGCAATTTCACTTCCTAAAGAAAAATGCACTTCTTTGGGTTTTCTGGTTTTGGTTTAAGGACATTGTTCAGGAAACCACCATATTGTTAATTTCTATCTGAGAATAAAGTTTGTAAAAGTGTAGGTTCATAGTATCCGCGGAGTAAGGATATATTACATACGAGGTGTTCAATTTTCTTCAGTTGACATTTGTAAACCTTGTGCTTCATGGTTTTGTTAATTTATCAAGCATTTGACTAAGATTAAAGTTATTGTATTCCCGTTTAAGACACAATGAGAGGCGCTATGCCTTTTTGCCTTTCTTTTTCTTCATTTCTCTCCATTGTTTTTCCTATTTGCTTAGCAAATGCAGCTAACATTGGCCCTCACTTAAAGCAGCAGCAAAAGATTCTATGCTATTCTTGTTTTCTTTCATCTGCAAGGTTACAACCCCACACATTTTTACCTCTTTAATAGTTGCTTTAGAAGCATGTGTTCTAAACTAATAAATGGACATATATGATTTATGTGGTATGAATCAATACATTAGAACCATGACATTTCTAAATTTTAGTCTTTTTTGTCCAACTCAACCAGATCAATACCACACAAGCTTGGTCAACGGTCAGAGGCGTATAAAATTCATGTTTTGATCTAGTTCATGTGTCTGCTTTAAACTTCATAGAGTACGGGCACCAAGATGTTGAAACTGAACAAGCAGGTGTTTATTAGGTTATTCTACCTTAAAATTAACATGAACAGACGATTAATTTTGTAACAGGACCAATAACAATCCGTGTTAACTAGGAGTTATGGATTCCACTAATACCATAGTTGTTGGATGGAGGTATTTGAGGAAGAAAAATAGAGAGGAGATTGTACGGATCCCGTATCAGTTAGATACAAGTAAACGGAATGAAAACAAACCACTTGAAACCCAACAACTTGGCGAAGAAGAATGAAAGAAGCTAGGATAGATTGTTGAATACTAACGCAAACCGATATAAAAACATTTATCCTTTGCAGATTCAAGCAATGGACTAAGAATTAAAGAAAGAAATCATCCACAAGCAACAAAGAACCTCAAGTGAAATAAGAAGATACCTATTTGATTTTTCAAACTGATAGAGGTTAGAATGGTTACCACAAGGAGTTTGCTCTACTTCAATGACAACCATAGGTTTTCACCAAGAACAAGAAGGTTTATCACCAAGCTATAGGCTCTCAAATCATCAAGTATCCTTTCCTAAGCCAAGTACATCATATATATAGAGAGAGAGAAAGTCTAGGGAAATAACTTTGTTTTTTAAATAAGAATAGTCTAGGAAAATAACTTAAGCAAGCCCATCTGGTATATACAGATGAAATGGGACTTAAAGTGAGCAACATAAAAGATCTGGCCAAGCTAGGCATGTTTGCACTACATATTTGTGTGGTCTCTCTTCAAGCTCAAATTTAGTCCAGTGAGTGTCCAACTACATACCCCGGTGCGTGTGGTTGACAGCAGGTTGTGTGGTCGCACTTCCTCCTGAAATTGCAAACTGACGTTCATTTCTCCAAGAAAAGGACCTTTGGTCAACACTAGGAACCTACAACAACAACAACAACAACATGCTCAGTATTATCCCACACCGTGGGGTCTGGGGAAGGTAGTGTGTACGCAGACCTTACCCCTACCTTGTGAGGATAGAGTGATTGTTTCCAATAGACCCTCGGCTCAAGAAAGTATGAACACCACATTAATGAAAAATATAGACAAGAAGGGACCTACAATGGCTTCCAATACCCTCGTCGACATGAGTCTTGGTATGAATGACTTAGCTGAATCCCTATCAGAGATAAACATGAAAATGGTGCAATTAACTTAGTCAACGCCTCATAAACTAAATGAATAAGAAATAGGAAACATATTTTAGGTAAGAAGAGTGTGAATGTTTTGCCTTCAGATAACGAAATAGTAACCAAACTAAGCAACACATGTTTTGTTTTCAAACTGTGTGCTGCTAGTAGTAAACAAAAGAGGCACAGCTCTTGTGCATCCCAAAGAACATTTGCACTCGCTATGGAAACGGAATAGAATGAATTGCACTTTTAAGCACCAATTTTAATATCATAACTATGCATAGCACCAATTGTCATCCTTTCCTCGCGCTATTTCCATCAGATACTATCTTTCATCACAAATGAACCTTATGATATTCCTTAGTCTCAAGTTTATCTGACCGTGCGAGAAACAATGGTCTAAAATATGCTTAGATTTAACCCTTCTACGACATGCCAAAGATATCAAGATAAATGGGCGATCAATGATCCCAACCATTTTTCTAAAAGAGCCTGTTTGAAAGCATTTTCACGAAGTATATGCTTCACGTAATTCGGAAAGCAACATACAAATATATACTTGAAAAGTAAACTTGAATTTATACAATCAGGCAATCCCAAAAGCAAGACAAGAGAATCTTCACTCTCAAAGTGAAGTTTCTTGACCTGATATATGATTAGAGAACAGAAAACTCATGAAAATTTCCATTATTAAATGAAGAGGTAAACCCCACCTCTGAAAGGACAAAAGAAAAACTCAAGATAGCCCAAACAGACAGAAAGATATCTTTACCACCAACAAACGCAACTTGCATGAGACAATCATGGTTTGTACATTACGAGTAAACTACCATAAATACCAGTACCCTTCATGGCGAAATTCAAAACTCTTATGACTACTGGCTTCCTCTCAGTGCCCTCAAAAGCATCTGTTTTCTGGTTTCAGAATCTCCAAAGATGCTCATAATGTCAGGCATCTAAAAATATGCTCATACTTTCGGGCATCGGTTTGACCAGGACATGATCGTAACCTTCACGGATCTCCGATTACTCAGCACTTTTAAGTACAAATGGCTTCAACAAAGAGTGCTCTTTGTTTCGAAATGCTTAATCAGATAATGGCAACACATCATCTAGTGTAAGAGTGACATTGTCCCGAGATAAAAAAAACCACCAAACACACAACAACAACAACAACATACCCAGTATATTCCCACATGGGGTCTGTGGAGGGTAGTATATACGCAGTCCTTACCCCTACATCGTGAAGGTAGAGAGGCTGTTTCCGAAAGACCCTAGGCTCAAAAAAAAAAAACCAAAAAAAAAAAAAAAAAAAAACATGGCAATTACAAAACAAATTAATAAGACTAGATATCAGCCAAAAGAAAGTTGCTTACCTATTTTGAAACTGATAATATCTATTCATTGGACGCTTTTCATGTATGATCCATATAGAAGGGGTAGTTTATCCTTGTAAGGCAACACTACTTCTTTCATAAACTTCGATGGCGTCATGCACGCAGCAGAGTAAAACCCAAGACCTCCGTTGAGACGCTTGCCATGTAAAATTTTCAGGACCTTATATCTAGGAATCACTCTCTTCTCCAAACTATACATTAACAGCTTAGGACGAGATGCTAAATACTCTGACGTGCAGCCAACTTCCTTCATGAGAAAAGTTAATTGTTTACAGATTTTAGCCTCCGATAAGCAGAAACAAAAAGGTAGTTTTCTCGCCATCGTACTGATATGCGCATCAGACCAACCAAAACTCCTATAAACGTCAACCTTCTCTGCCAGAGTTGACTGACTAAAGGAACTAACGGCACTAATTCCATGGAGAAACGTAGCCGATTCACGAGAGATTCCAAAGTCCGCTTCTACTCTATGAAAAATATCCTCAAGCCATTCAGTTTTCCGCATCATAATTCTTGGGTGGTGCAATATAAACTTCCTAAGTTTCAAATCCGAAAACCCAATATTTTGCAGCAACAATACATTAGGTGCCATTATCTTGGGAGCATTACAACCAAGTAACCAAGAAGCTTTTTTTATAGCCTTAACAACATCTTCATCACTACCCAATAAAGTTCTAAGGTAATTAAGTGAAGGTCTAAGAAAAGTATCTACACCTCTATCAAAAATATGAATATTTGCATTTGCAAACTTAACCAAGTCAGATCCAGAAAAACCAATTTCTTGTAAAATCTCGAGTTTTGGTTTTAGGGTTTTGTCTACATTAGAGAACAGTACTTTAGGGGACTTGGAGACAATGTTTTTGATTTGGGTATTATCAAAACCACTTATTTTAAAGAAATTGATAACAAATTCTGGGTTTTTTGAGGGTTTCAAGCGGGTTACCTTGTTGCTTGTAGTGACTGCTTCTTCTCTTGAAAACCCGAGAGAATCAACAAGAAAGTCCACTAAGAAATGGGTTGGTGTAGTAGTAGTATTAGCATGGAGAAATCTGAAGGTGTAGATGGAGAAAATGTGTAGATTCTTGACTCCATTGACATGAATCCCAGTTATTCGAGCTAACATAGTTTTTAAAAATAATAATAACTGAAGCAGCACAGCTTATGTTGGAAAACAGAATCAAGTCAGAGTATGTAAAGCTGTCACGCCCTAATCTCAAACCATCGTCGATGGTGCCAACATTTTCAATTTCATATCTTCTCTATATTATTAAAAGAAGGAAAAAATCTTATCCTTAGGCCAACTTTCAGCCTAGAAAAAAATTACATGTCATAAAAATAATTAATACGAAAATTTCTATCAAATAATAAAATAAAATATTTTATAATAAAAAACAAAAATTTTAAAAAAACTGTCCATTCAAATTGGAGAGTAGTTTTAAGTTGGAGTTTTTAAATTATTTTAAAATAAAAATACTAAAATTACAACAACAAAAACTGGCAATTTAAAAATTCTTTGTTTTTTAAATAATTTTTGTTTTTCTCTTTTAAAAATAAAATTTTTATTTATTCAAAAATTATTATTGATAATAATAGAATAAATTATAAAATAAAAAAAAATATCTTTTATTATATTATAAAATGAAAGTAGCATACAAAAATTTAAATAAAGCAATATGCTAATAAATATTGGATAATATAATAAAGAAAAATTCAGAACAAAAAAGTTATTCGATGCCTATATAAGTCTCATTAATTTAATAGAGATTTTATTCATTAAAATTCAGATATTATTGAGAACAGTAGGATAAAATTTAAAATAAAAATATATTTCAAGAGTAATAAAATATATATCTTCTATTATATTACGAGAAAGTAGTAGACAAAAATATTAATGAAAGTAATATGCTAATAAAAATTTCTATTAACAATGCAATTATATTTAATATTGGATAATATAATAAAAAATGCATAACAAAAAGTTATTCGATAACTATATAAGTCCCTTTCATTTAATAGAGATTTTATTCATTAAAATTCACATTATATTATTGACAACTACAAAATAAATTTAAAATAAAAAATATTTCGAGATTAATAAAATATATATATCTTCTCTTATATTACAAAAAGAAAGTGAGCAAATAAAAATATTAAACAAAGTAATATGCTAAAACAAATTCTATTAACAATGTAAAAATACTAAACATTGGATAATAAAATAAAGAAAAATATAGAACAAAAAACTTATTCAATGACTATATAAGTCACGATAATAATTTAATTTAATTAATATTTTTTAATATTGACTGTGCATCGCGCGGGTACGACTACTAGTTATACTAAAACATGTCTAAATAAGTGAAAATCTCATAAAAATCGAATAAAAACGTCATAATTAAATACAGAAGTTCCCAAACCCCGGGTGTCACTGAGTACATGAGCATCTATACAAATACATAGTCTGATACACTGTCTAAGAAAGTAGAACTGAATAAGTAAAACTAGGGGACAGGGGAGGAGAGTCAAGGTCTGCGGACGCCAAGGCATCTACCTCGATAATCTCCGAACGGCTGAAAACTCTGAGAATCAGCAACCACCGTGTTCGAAAATACCTGGATTTGCACACGAAATGCAGGGTGTAGCGTGAGTACAACCAACTCCGCAAGTAACAAGTCTAACTTTTGGGCTGAAAGTAGTGACGAGCTTCACAGGTATAGTTCAATTACAGAAAATACAGTACAAAAATGTAGACATGCTTTCAAGTTCAACAGTTAAAGCTTAAACACGTAAGATATGTCAAGTGTACTAAAAGAGAGAAATGATATATCTCGATATCTACATGACAGTTATGTAGGCCAACTGTAATGCGAAACATTGGTAAAATCATATGCATACTCTCAGAGTATCAATCGCGCAGTCCTCCCATTCACTCCATTCTCACAGTCACTTCATCGTCACAGTCACTTAATCCTCCGAATCGCTCGGCACTCGTACTCGCACACGCACTCAGTAGGTACTTGCGTTCAATGTGGGTGTGCAGACTGCGGAGGGGTAGATCCAGCCCAAGCGCTATAATAAGCCAATCATGGCATGAATCAATAAAACATGATACGGCGTGCAGCCAATCCCATGAATATCCTCACAATCAGGCCCTCAGCTTCACTCAGTAATCAATTTTTCCAGTCTCTCGGGCTCACAAAAATCATGATAATCACCCCAAATAATGATGATATGATGTATCAATAAATGAAAACAGAAGCTGGGATATTATATGCAAATAATAGTTGTGACTGAGTATATAATTGCAACTTAAGCAATTAATTCAACATGCAATACGATATTTGTGGGTCCTAACAGTACTAGCATATAGCCTAAGTATGATTTCTAATATGACTTGCATCTCAATTTCTCTAACACATGGAGAATATACGAATAGCGATAAGATTATTCAACTATACAATTTCATGGAATTAACCAAGTCACAATTCCTACGGTGCACGTCCACAAGCCCGTCACCCAGCATTTGCGTCACCTCAACACCAATCACATAACATGTACTTCGGGTTTTCATACCCTCAAAATCTAATTTAGAAGTGTTACTTACCTCAAACTGTGTAAATCTCTACTACAACTCTGAATGACTCGAATCTAGCCACAAACAATTCGATACAAATCAACTCAAGCTATATGAATCAATTCCATATAAAAATGCTAAGTTCTTAATCAAAAATCAAAATGTCAACTCAAAAGTCAACCCCCTGGCCCACGTCTCGGAATCCGATGAAAGTTACAAATTCGAACACCTATTCAACAATGAGTCCAACCATATCAAAGCTACTAGAATCCGATACCAAAATCTCGCTCAAATCCCCAAATTTTGGCCTAAGAAGTTTTCTCCATTTTTCGTAATTTTTCAACCCAAATCACTAATTAAATGATGAAATCAAAGATATAATCATGAAATTTAACCAAAACTAAGTAAGAATCACTTACCCCCAATCACTCCATTGAAAATCTCTCCAAGAAACGCCTCCAACCGAGCTCCCAAAATTAAATTGTGAAATAACCTCAAACCCTCATTTTTGGGACTTTAAATTCTGCCCAGTTATCCTTCAATCGCGATCGCAAAAAATGCTTCGCGATCGCGAAGCACAAACTCAGCTTCCCTATAATTAACCCTACGCAAACGCGGCAATCCCCACGCGAACGCGAAGCACTGATTCCTCAGACCTACGCGATCGCGTCCCCCTTCACGCGATCGCGTCCCCCTTCACGCGATTGTGATGAACAAACGTGTGACCTCAGTTGCTGCCTCATTTCCTCTTCGAGAACACGGCCTAACCCACGTGTTCGTGATTTACTGCTGATCGCAACCCTTAACTCACGAACGCGTAGAGTAAATACCTAGCTGCCCAAAAATAAGCCTTCGTGATCGCGGACCGCTCCACACGATCACATAGAATGAAACCTGACTTGGACACCAACAACCTTTAGTAGTCTTCCAAGTCCCAATTTCACTCCGTTAACCATTTGAAATCCACCTGAGGTCCCCGGACCTCAACCAAACATACCAACAAGTCCTAAAATATCATACGAACTCACTCGAAGCGTCAAATCACATCAAACAACGCTAAAATCATGAATCTCGTATCGATTCATGCCTAATGAACTTATGAACTTCCAACGTCTATATTCGACGCCGAAACATATCAAATCAAGTCCGATTGACCTCAAATTTTGCACACAAGTCATAAATGACACAACGGACCTACTCCAACTCCTAGAACCAAAATCCGAGCCCGATAACCACAAGGTCAACTCTCGGTCAAACTTCTCAATTTTCAAAACTTCTAATTTTCCAACTTTCCCCATTCAAGCCTAAAATCAACTACGGACTTCCAAAATCACTATACGGATACACTCCTAAGTCCAAAATTACCCTACGGAGTTATCAGAACCGTCGAAACTCCATGTCGGGGTCGTTTACACATAAGTCAACATGTCAACCTTTTCAACTTAAGCTTCCAATCTTGAGACTAAGTGTCTCAACTCATTCCAAAACATCCCCAGAACCGAACCAACTACCCCGGCAAGTCACATAACGACAAATGAGCATAAAATAAGTAGTAAATGGAGGAACGAGGCTACAACACTCAAAATGACTGGTCGGGTCATTACAAAAGCTCGATTCGAGACTAGGTATATACCAGCTTGTTTGGATGGTTATTACGTATTGTATTGTATCGTATCATATTATTACTTCAATTTTATAATTTTTTTTCTTTTGTTGTTATTTAAATTTTATTGTATCGTATGATTATATGCCATTCTATATAACGATCAATTTGGTGTGATCGGCTAGTTACCTTATTTTTTTCTCTCATTTTGCCCTTCTTGTTATTAAATAATTATATTTTATCTTTTACTTTTTATATAATAATTTTACATCGTACCCTACTTCTATCTGTAATATTGCAACTTTCTATCTGTAATATTGCATGTGTATTTTTTATAGTGATGGTGCATGACATTATGAAATGACGACAAACTATACGATCTATCCAAGGTATTCATCAAAACAATAAAGTACAATATAATATGATACGATACATTATAAAACGATATGTAACAACCATCCAAACAAGCTGTACACGTGTTATTTAAATATTTCATAAATTTCAACTATATTTTGAATAGGGTTGAAAAAATTACATGTTTTATTTTTTACTCCTATTACTAATGAGGTTTAAGTAATTATCATAACTTTCTTATCTCTCACCATGAGGTAAGATGGAAATTGATTGTCTATTTTTTGGCATCCAACTTCATTTTTTTTCTTTTGAATAAAGAGAGATTTTAATTTTGTTAAATATAGTGCTCAAATTGAACTTTAACTAAACACAATTCATAAATTAAAATCAAAACACTTAAGTATTGCTAATGCACACACTTTTTTCTTTATAATCGGAATCAAACAACCTCTTAACAGTTGAGTGGAGCCAAAGTGTCATAAACTAAAACCGAAGTGTCACATCTTAGTACTAGCATTGTAAAACATGGCGCTCAAACATTTTGCTATTTCTAACCCTTTTCAATTTTAGAAGAGACAAGCTTTATTATACTTCTTTTGAAAGAAAAAATAAAAAGGAAATTTTGAACCTTCTCAAACAATGCTAGTTCGAATATCTAAATTTCGACATATTGGCAAGAACGCCTACCTCTTCAGTTCAGTGGGATTTTCTACAGATGAAGCAATTTCTACCACCACCAAGGTAATCCCTCTTGAAATCTTCGAAAATTTCTAATTTTTTTGCAGAAAAAATTGTTTAAGCAATACCCATTTTTATAAATTTATGTATCTGGATATATTTTTTTCCCTCTCTTTTGCTGCTATTCTCTGGACAGTAGTCCTGAAACCATGATTTTACATATCAAAGTGTTATCTTAGCCGCCTAGATTTTTTTACTTATATTTTATATTAAAATATTAATTTTTTTTTAGACAAGTGTTTTGTGGTGATGGAAAATGTGTTTATAGCTAGAGAGAAATGTGCTCAAACGCTTTTTTCTTATGATACCAAAAGAATCAAACTTAGTATACTTTTTTCGCCAAAAGAGTGCTGAAAATATAGAGTGAGAAGGAGTTGAACAAGAAAAAGAAGCTCTATGTGTTGCAGAATCATAGTTTATACAGGAATTCCCCTGCCTTTCAAGGATAATGCACCTATTTGTATGAATAATCCAAGAAAAGAGTGAATAAATTTTGTTTAAGTGACTTCCTTCGCTTTGTGCAGTTCACCACATTTTTGTTTCGTTGACGAACGCGCCTGTTTATTCATAGTGATTGGAGCAATTGCTTTAAAGCTAGAGTCTTTGCTTTGGCAGGATCCCTTTTGACTTGTTAAGAAACTGAGAGGATGTAGTATAGTATGTTTTTTGGTGCTAAAACAAATGAGGCGATTTACCAAACAAGTAGTTATAAGAATAAATTTGAGCAAATTAACTTACCATTCACTTAAAAAGAATCTGCAGAATTATGTAGATCTCACATGATATAGAAGCACTAGGTCCCAAAGCTACTTGTTACAGTAATCCTTTCAAAATGGAGAACATATGAGGGGCATCAAATATATTGTTATTTTCCTAGCTAGTAGCCATTTTACCAAGTTTAGTTCTACCTTTGAGTGAAAGAAGACCTTTTCTAACCCATCTTGATTAGGGTACTTGGCGTACCAATATGATGTTTAGTCATCTCTGTTTGCTGCTTTCCCTTTTGACAAATCACATATTATTTGTAGTTCATGAGACCTTTCTGGTAGTGAAGTTTGAGTACTCCCCTGTAATATGGTTCAAGGAATACAAGTTTGTGCTCTACAAGTAAAAATGATGTTGGAATGCATAACATCTTGTTTCATGGTCTATATCTGCATGTTTATTTTTATTATTATCATCATTATTGTTATCATTATCATTGTCATTATCATTTGTCAATGCAATGTTGTAATCTGATGAAACTATTCTTGCTTAAGTGTCTAAGTTAAAATCATTTTATGGATGGAATCAAATTTGGTGCTCAACACCCTTTGCGTCTGCTCCTTCTCAGAACCCTTTCTTGTCAGACTACCTCATCAAATCACTGGGATTCTCCAGAGATGAAGCAAATTCTGCAACTGCCAAATTAAGTAGCGTGAAACCCCCTAAGAATCCTGATTTGGTAATCAAATTCTTTGAAGAGATTGGTTTGGGAAGGACAGAGATCAAGAAGTTAGTTTCTATTACCCCACAGCTGCTTTTTTCTGATTTAAACAGAACTCTTAAACCAAAATTGCAGTGGCTACTAGAATTTGGGTTGTCCGGATCTGACCTAGTCAATCTCTTCAGATGGGACGCACGAGCTCTGTTTCGAGGAGTAGATTCTCATTTCAGGCCTAATTTGGAGTATCTTAGGAAACTGTTTAGTAGTGAAGAATGTTTGGTTAAAGCTATAAAGAAATCACCTTGGTTACTTGCTCCAAATGGTCCAAAACAAATCAATCCCAAAATATTGTTGTTGCAAAAGTTTGGTTTTTCAAAACCCAAAATCGAGAAGCTTTTAATTCAGAAACCACTGGTAGTTTTGCAAAAAACTGGGTGGCTGGAAGAGAAATTGCACAGAGTTGAAAAGGATCTACAGATTTCTCCTAAATCTGGAATGTTTTTCTATGGAGTTATTGCACTTGTTTCAGTTAGTAAGTCAACAGTGAAAAAGAAAATGGGAATTTTCAGGAGCTGTGGATGGTGTGATCTGGATATAATGACTGTGTTCAGAAAGCAACCTCTCTGTTTGGTTATGTCGGAAGCTAAAATTCAGCGAGCATTGGACTTTTTCATGAGGGAACTCGGATACAAACCGGAACACTTGGTTTGTAATCCTGCGGTTCTAATGCTTAGCTTGGACAAGAGAGTGATTCCTAGAAATGTTGTACTGAAAGTTTTAGAGGAGAATAAGCTGAATCAGAAAGTATCTTTTTTGAAAGCTTTGCGTATATCTGAACGTATGTTTCGTTCAATATTCGTGCTTCCTTACAAGGATGAGGTACCCAATCTATATGAGTCATATATGACTTGCGTCAGACGTTAGATACACAACGCTCAAATAAGGTGTGATTTTCATCTTTATGATTCATATTCATGCCTTTCTGTTTTCCTGTTTTCTATTGAATTTCGTTCTTTCAGGTTGTCGTCAGACACTAATCTGCTGGATTCTAATTTAATGAAATGGGCTTTATATAATAATGACAAAAAACTGAAATGGGGAATTGGCTAATAATATATATTGATATAAACTCTTGTTCCCAGTTCAAACTGTTTGGATTTGGGTGGAAGAATGAAAAAAGTGTTTTATGTCAATAATGCTTTGGGTAGTTAGCAATATGCAGAAAAGAGGCTACAGTCTGTGTAATAGGTGTTACCTTTCTGAAGAAAGCAGGAATCAGTGAATCATTTCCTCCTTCATTGCAGAGTATCTAGGCAATGCTGGGATCTATTTTTCAGCATCTGTGGTATTTCTTGGGTGATGCCTCGATATGTCAGGAGTTTATTACAAGCTTGGCAATCTCAAAGAGTACCTAGAAGGCTGAAACAGATGTGGAGAACCATTCCGTTGTGCATTTTATGGACCTTATAGCTGGAAAGGGACAATGCTTGCTTTGAAGGACATAGGAATCAAATTATTAGAATTAAGAATATATGTCTCCATAATCTGTATTTTTGGTGTAAATGTAGTCAGATTAGGAAATCTGAATCAATATATGGACTTTCTGGAGGTGTTAGGAGGGGGAGGATAGCTTGCTGATGTTGTTATTTGGGATGTTTTTTGTACCATTTTGTATCATCTTGGTACCTTATAAAGAATCTTTTACCTTATCAAAAAAAAAAATTGGTGTCACTGACTGCAGTCAAGTATTTAAGTGGGAACAGGATAGAGGGGCGGACTCGACCCCCTCGAGTTTCAACCTTGTGAGCAGAATTGGAGTAGTCCAGCTAGCTTACAGGGGATTTCTCGATTATCAGAAAAAAGTTCTCATGCTCCCTGGACTATATATAGGATGATTTTGGTTTAGGAAAGGAGACTTTGATGATCTGAGAGCTTATCGCTTGGGGATAAACCTTCTTATTCTTGATGAACACGCCATTGAAGTAGAGCAAACTCCTTGTAGTAACCATTCTAACCTGTATTAGTTTGATAAATATAATAGTAGGTTTCTTCTTATTTCACTCGAGCCGAAGGTCTTTCGAAAACATTATCTCTGCTCTCCCGGGTAGGTGTAAGGACACATTACCCTTCCCAGACTCCACTTGTGGGATCCCTCTGGGGTTGTTGTTGTTGGTGATTCCGTAACTCCCAATTAACATGGATATTGTTGATCCTGTTACATTTTCTCGTTCATAATCTTCCCAAATATACGGTATCTCAACTCACATCCTAACTCGTCAAAATACTAGAAAGTCAGAAAGGTGTTGATAGGAGTACTCCTTGGTAGAGTAGAAAGTGACCACAGATATGTTTGTAAAGTAAGATACACTCTTTGAATCAGTAGAAGCACACTTCTAGCAGTAATAGCTCTTTTATTGATTGTGAGAAACAGAAAATTTGTGTGAAGAAAAAATTGTTTGCCATATTGGAGAATTTCATTATCAATTAACCTTGTATAAGGTTTCTTCTTTATCTAGCGCTGCTGCTGTCAACCATCCTTGAGCCTCATTTATTACATTAAGTGTTTTTTTCATTAGGGTGCATGCAAGTTGACTCGGACATGAGCGCGTTTATCCCTAGGAATGGAGGACTTTCTGGATATGTAAAACTGCTAAAATACTCTCCTTCTAAACAAGGGATTTTAAAATTGAAATACAAGTTTTGCGATGGGATAATTTTAGTGTCTTGGGGGTTAGTTTTTTTTTTCTTCCATATAAAATGGTAAAAATAATATGGGTTGGTTACTTTTCGGACCGGTAATTAATAAATAGTCATGGATTCAAATTAATTGAAAAATAGCTATTTTAATGCAAAAATAAAATCTAAGCAAAAAGTTCCTTAGCTAAAATTCGAGAAATAAAGAAAATTTAAGTATAATAAGCTGAAGTTTAAGCTTCTACATGTTAAACTTCAGCACAATATGTTGGAGTTCAAGCATAATTTTTTTAAAATATATACTAAAGTTTAAGCTTTTTTATGTCGGAGTATAATATGCTGGAGTTCAAACTTCTCTAAGTTAAGGTCCAACGCTATATGCTTGAAAACTTCTCCAAGTTAAATTCTAGCAGAATATGCTGGAGTTTTGTTAGATATGAGTAATTTTGTTTTTGTTCGAACTCCAAACTATTTTCTTGAATTTTTAAATTTATACCGCGAAAACTCCAGGATAATATCCCGAAATTCAAACTTATACAGTGTAAACATGACATTAGCCTGGGTTTTGAACCCAATTGCGATTTTGTTTAGGATTTTTCCATGTTGTGGAGCTTTTGCTTTTGTTTATGATGTTGTCATCTATGTTAAAGCTTGTAGAATCGTTCAGTCTTTTTGGTTATAGCTGTGAGGAATGAATCAAATCTATGTACAGTGAGAGAAGCGGAGAAGAAGCTAGGGTTCTATAGGGGTAATTTTTGTTAAACCTAGTACACATTTCCATGACTTTTGACACTGCGTCTAATTTTTAATTAGCATTTAAAAATCTGGCTATTCCTGAATTTTACTCCATTATAATGCGTGTCGAAACGTTGCAAGTGTTCCTCAAATTTTCGAAAATTGGGGAAGACTCAAAGAAAAAATATAATGAGACATTATATATCAATTTTTTTTTTAATTAAAAAAACTCAAATGTACAGTTTAATTAAATTGAAGGGAAACTAACCAGCTATGTAGCTTATTAGAAAAATTGGTCAATTCATAAAATATTACTAATATTAGCCAATTAACTATTTGTAGCAAAAAAAAATCAAATTTTTACTCTCTTTTGAATGAGTGTTATTAGCATAGATTGGATACATATTAAGGAGTTTGAATCTCAGTTTTTGGAATGATTTGGTGGAGTTTTGAGGTGGTTAGAATTAAAAATTCGAAGTAGATGAACATAAAAAAAAATGATATGTGTATCACACTGTGTATCACATATGTATCATATTTGTATTACATGTATATCCATGTATACATGTGTGATACATGTTTGATTCATGTGTCGCAGAAGAATTTTTTGAACTCGATTTTTAACTACGAATTTTGATACCAAATCAATCCAAATCACCTCTAATCTTCCTCAAATTTTGTATATTGACTCATCTATATGTTTTCAATGAATTTCAACCATACCCATTGAAAAAGATCTATTTTTGCTTAGATTTTTGGAATCTTGTGTGTGTATATTTGTGTATATATATATATATATATATATATATATATATATATATATATATATACACACACACACATTTCATTACCTTGTTTGCTATCTCATCCATGAATTTTTTTTCCGTCTTGCATCTAATGTTGTTGATCACGCTTAAAAATATGGAAGAAAATCTTTGCGTGTGATTCTTGGAGAGAAAGAACCTTATTTATATGGGTTTTCAATTTTATATGTGTTTGGCTAGCTTTGGTAAGTATATGATTAATGGCTAGAGGTTGGTAAGTTAGGACTTATTTGGGACATTTCTGTAAGATTCCCTAAATTGAATTAGTCACCAACAAGTTTATCATAACACTAGAAGTACGCTTCCAATAGAAAGGAATAACATAATTTCTATGCTCTCTTGACAAGCAATAAGCAACTTGCATCTTAATCCAAACTCGAGAAACATCAAGATTTCTCTTTAACACAAACGACAATCATCTAATACCAATCCGAACTTTGTAAGATCTTTACTTAAGGCATTGCGAAAAAGCACAATTTCTTGGGCATCACATTCAATTATGCTTGGGCCATTAAAATATTGGAACAACCAGCCGAGAGCAAAATGCAAACCCATAATTTCAGCATACTAAGGATTGACACAACCTCGAAAAAATGAAGAAGTTGCAACTACAAACTGACATGCTGAATCACGCACAATATCCCCTACTCCACTACAACATAAAGCAAGGAAGATAGTTGCATCAATATTGTATTTCTAGGTACCATGTGGAGGCTTAGACTTAGAAGTGGCCATAACCTGAGAGGAAGCACCCACGAGACCTCCCACCCACTTTTCAACCATAGTAAGTTCACACTTCACACTCACTTAAAAAGCTTAGAGCTTCAGAAAACAGATATGTATGATGAAGAACTTTACTATTCCACACAAACTCGTTCCTCGTAGAAGTGGATTCACAATGAAAATTGTGGTTCACGTGAATCTGTGGTCCATCGACTAAAGTTAGTATATGATGTACACAATTTGCAAAAAATTCTTATAATTAACTAATGGCACCCATGGTCAAAATAGTCGAGGTGGTGCACTGATTTTGGCTGCTTATTCCTAGGAACCAAAGGTCATGGGATGAATCCCACTTAAAATTTTTGTTTTAATTTATTTTTCATTTTCTACTAAAACGCAACAGCAACATTAGTTCCCAACTTCCCCACACTTGGAACTTTTCAGTTTTCCCCATTCTCAAATATCATCTATTGACTATTCATCAATCACTATTATAATAATATTTTCTAATCCCAATTTATCCCAAAGGCCAGAAAATACAAAACCCTAACCCCAATATTGACTATTGTTCTTATTTCTAGCTCTAAAATCTACACCATTTAAAGAATCAAAGTACATCTTTGTCTCCATTGTTAGTCAATCTGTATTACTATAATAATTAACGAAACGGTAAATTTTCTGAAACAGAAAACAAAAACAGAAAAATAGCAGCAACAGAATATCGAAACAATGAAGCTGAATCTGAAATATAGCTTCGGAATAAAATCGATCCCACTGAATGCGCAGTGTATCCTTAAGAAAATTATTTCCCTCAAGTACTCTAGGTGCTGAAATATTATCCTCCCAAGATAGAACGCTTTAACTCACCAAAGTATTGGTACCAAAAACGCCGGTGAAACAACGAACCACTCGAAGGCTGTAAACCACACTGAAATTTTAATTGTGCAGAAGAATGAGAAAAAGCTTAGAAAATTTCGTAATGAAAGATTCTAGGATCAAGGTATATTTATAGCCATTTTCTGGCATTGTTTCTGAAAAAGTTTGCAACCTTTTAGAAATAGCTATGGCTGTTGAAACAGGTGGGAACGTTTCTCATTTGAAATATTCCAGGAAAAAAGATTTAAAATAATCCAGGAAAGAAACGGACTATGTCGCGTCGCGGGTCCTAGGTTATTCCGGGTTAAATTTTCATTGATTAATTAAATAATTAAAAGAAATTTTATCCAAAAAGATTAATCAATCAATCGATCTTTGACCAAATCCGAATCCGAATCTGAAGTTGAAGCCGAGCCGAGCAACGATGGCGACAACGCGAGGATTACTTTCTTTCCAATCCATTTAACACCAAGAGAAGTGCTTTCTCAATATGAGCTTATTCATTTTTCTTTCTACCACCAATGAGGGACACTTGCTCTTTCCAAAGCAAAAGAGAACTCACTTTTCCTCCACTTTCTTTCCTTCATTTCCCATTCACCAATCTTTTAATCCCAACAATCCCCTACATGAATGGGGAATGGCTATAAGACAAAGGAATGCACAGACGAGTGTGTGATTTACATGCAAGGATTAATTGCATCTGGATAAGTAGGTTTCTCTTTGAACTTTTCGTAGTGAACTTATATCGTATATACTCGGTCAATCGGTAGATTTGATATCTTTGAACCGTAGAGCTTTGTTGTATACCTAGACAATATAAGTCATACAATCAACCCTTAACCATCTATGGTTCTCACGGTTGTGTTCGTTTCAGCCATGAACACCGTCTGGTTTCATGAATGCTTAGAGAATGGGCCTTTACTTTCATTCCCCTTGAAGCGGCTTACATTTCACACTCACATATGTGATTCCTAAACGTGTAATCCTATTGACACACTATCTGGTCATTTCCTGTCAGACTTAGCAAATCATTAAAAAGCTTTAAGCTTTATTGACTTTGTCGCGCCCTTTTTTTTTCCTCGCGAGAGCGGGCTTCGACGTGGGGTAACTCTTTTAAATGAGAGGGTATTAAATGAGGAGAGTCGCCACCTAACGATTTTAAGGTGTGTTAGGGCACCTATTATGCAAATAACTCTGCTTGACTAGTCAACACCACCAAAGATCGGGTAAGGGTTCAAATTACCTCAAAGAGAAGGTGTTAGGCACTCTTCGAGGTCCATAACTGTGA